ATCTCTATAGGTGCAAAAAATCAATAAATAAATGAAAAATAAGTAAGAAAAAACAAGTTTTTAAAACAAAAGCATGTCAACTCACCATGTCCAAAGATTTCGCCAACTGTCTCTTGGTACATCTGTCCCGGACTCTTATCAAGACCTTCGCACAGCGCCTGCCACAGTGAGGACCGAATAGCCTCGTTCGGTGACATGCGGCATGTCCGTAGGAAACTGCTGATCTTTTTGTTATCCCTTCCAGAATCACCTCCGAACAACTGATTGAACTCCTGCTCTAGTGTCAGGAGTTTTTTCTTTGGGGAAGCAGTTGCTTGAGCCATGGCGGCTCCGTCAACGACGGCAGGAATGCTGTCATGGCTGACAAACTCCGTGAATACGTCGCCATTCTGCTGTCCTTTCATGGTACAGATGTGGTAAGTTTTTTATAACGATCACTCTTCACCCGTTTCCAACTCGCAAAATCACTGTCCACGATTTTTCGAGATTGTAGTAATATCAGATGAGTTCAATGTTCTTGGAATGTTCAATCTGCGAACCACTTTGACCTGGGTTTCTACACCTACGTGCTGTAATACTCCTGTTAATGTCTTTGAAAAATTGGCACAAAGTAAATGTCACTGAGCTCTCGAGTGGTGACTTCAATATCACACTGCCAGATGCTACAACAAATGATCACTATGAGTGTAACAAATGACGTTTGCACAGCAAGACTGTTTTTCTGGGTTTACCTTTTTTTTGTGGGTATTTTGTCTTGAATTTCTTGGCACTAAAACAGTGATGGTCTATCTAAGCCACAGTCAGAGCTGTGCTGAAATCATATTTACTGAGAAGATAATGCTTTTCTTTGAACAATATCTGTTACATAATTTATCAAGTAATGGATATGCTGTAATAAATTCCCTTGACGTCTCTCTCAAGCAAAAAACATATTGAATTCCTGAAGCAATGTCAGTGATGACTTTTTTGATTAATCAGTGTTATTTCATGTGTGTTGACTCAAGAGATAAATTGTTCCCTAGAGGTCACTGCACATCAATACAATCTGGTGACAAGTTGGCTTGTCCCTGTATAAGGTCAATCAAGGAAAATCTGTGTTCCAAAAATACTCCACAGAGGTCACTGTTCATCAAAAAGCGACAGCCTTGAATTTTGTTGCCTGTAAAGTGACTTTATACAGACAGAGAGAGAAAGAGACAATTCTTTGCCTAAAATTATATCCTAGAGGTCACTGTACTTCAAGACAATCTTAAGAACGTAAAAGAGATCACCTTTGCGTTGTATGAGAAACAAGATGATTTCAACCCCTTTAGTGCTAAAAATCTCTCCTAGAGGTCACTGTAAACCAAGAGAAGCTATGTTACATCCAGCAAGCAAACAAGTCTCCTGATCAGCTTGCAGCCTCGGGGCATTTCTGAAAAACTGAACATCTGGGGTCAGCTTCTTGTGTTACTGAATATCATTCTTCCACAGTGTCTCATTGATCTCAACTTTTTGGGAAATATCCTGGCGGAATAGGAGTAGAAAAGACGTGAAAGGCGTCACCTGCAGGAGGAGATTACATTTTCCAATGGTCCCTGAAAAAGAGAAATGGAAATTGAGAGTTCTAAGCATTTTCTTAAATAATTCATTGATACTTAGATTTCTGTACAACTCTTCTTGTGCACAAGGCAATTTATTTATTTTTATTTTTTTGAATAATGGATGAGCCTTAAAATAATTGAAAAAATATCAAGAGAATTAGAAACAGAGAGAATGGATTGCCTCTCATTTAACTGCATAATCTTTCAAGATCCATCCTTTCTATTTCTAGTTTCCTGACCTTTTCTAACCGAGCCTTTTGTTCTGGAAAAAAAGAAAAACTACCTTCCGTCTCTGTCCCTTTCTGCAAAACCCCAACCCTACAATACAATACAGAATGTGTGCACTGAAATCATTACAACAAGACCCTGGACAAGACAATATAACTATTACATTCCCGCATGCAGAACAATGATGCTGCAACTTCATGTGAGAGTTCATGTCATGAATGAACAGACGAATAAAACACACGCACGCTAATGTGCATGCACACACATACAGTATTCTTTGACAGTGGATACAGCACGGATCACACTGATGTTATTTTTAAGACTGGAACGTAAATACCATGGACAAGACTCTATCATGTTGTCACATGCTGGAGAACATGTGGCAACATCATGGCAGCACTTGTATTCGAAGCACATGCTACATCCTGGTACCGATATACTGCACCTGCTTCTAAATTGAATTGTTATGCCAAGTGAAAGGTACAAAATGCAGGACGCCATTCAACCGCCTTCAGAAGACGCCAGACTGAGAGATAATTTATTTCACAGTGCAATAAAAAATTGTCGTAAGAACACATCTAATTTATTACTAGTTTGAATTTAACCAAAATTTCACCAAGGCCAAACTTTTTCAGCTATAAGGTTACCCCATACACTGGGGTGAACTCTAGGTAATGACAGCAAGCTGACAGTTCATGATCTCCTAAGATAAAAGATTTAATGAGGTCAGACATGACAGGGGTGACGTTGATCTATGTCTGAGGGGGGGGGTAGCCAGGGGGTGACACAGGACTATCTAGAGCTGGTTACATGGGAGATCTATTATAAAGAGCACAAAACTTAGTTGAAACTTTTAGACCAAATATTTGGCAACCTAGTTTGCGATAAATCCAAATTAGTCTACTTCAACAAGATAGGAGACATGACCAATATTTTCCTTGTGATAAAACAGGCCAAACATCCCACTGAGGTCACAGAAGATCGAGATTTTAGATTTTAAAGTTTATACCTATTTTTGGGCTCGAGTTCTTATCTGGGTGAAGCGGGACACAGGGTCACCTCAGCTGTTCATCTGTCCCAGATATCTAGGTCAAGGTCACCCCAAAAAGCCACTTAATGCCTCTTAGCATGTTATCTGTGGTTAGGAAGATTTGGGTGACAGGGTTTCAGGGTGTGGGAATTCTTTAAACCTGGCCCAATGGGGCATCGCGTGGGTCAAGGACAGAAGAGACAGATGGCGCCAAGGCTTTCCCCAGAGAGTCCTCCAGCCGTCATTTGGACGGCCAAGGGACTTAAAAGATGGCCTATACTTTTAAAGACGACTGGACGGTTTATGAGATTTTTGGGAATGATGGTATAGTTTTAGTTAGACTCCCTGTTAATCAATGGTCAAGTAACATATCAATATTTTGGACTCCCTGTACCCCAAATCCTGGGTAAAACCCCCAGATGGCACTGACATGTGACCACTGACAGAGGGACAATATCCTTCAACTCTGTGATTCATGACTGCTCAGATCTTAGTCCTGTGATGGTTCTGTTCGTGGGAAGGCACCTACAAGTCTCTCTCATCAACCTGAGTAAGACAGCCAAAATGTCATAACAAGACAAACAAGATTATTATACTTGCACAAATCAAAGCACATATTTCACTGTAGTTACAGTTCTGCACCATCAACCACCTGTGCCGTGGTCAATTATTCACGAAACTGGGACAGCTATTGATTTTTAATGCTTTTATCTCGTCTCCTCTATCTGTTTCCATATCCATAACTCAATTTCAATGGAAAAATCAAAGAAAAATAGATCTATTCAGAAATTGATAGGACACAATAGGTGTAATTTATACTAATTTTCTTTCTAGCCAACCTACCGATATTCCCCACAGAGACAGAGGAGTGAATTATGATAAAGTATGGTGGTCATATTTCTTGACGGAAAGACCCAAGCCCATATTTAACTATAATTTGGTACAAGGCTACCCCTGTCTGCAACTATCAACAAAATGCCACAACTCCTCTTGACCTTTTTTTTTTCTTTTCTTTTTTTTTTTTTTTTTTTTTTTTTGGGGGGGGGAGAGGGGGCGAGAGGGGAGAAAGAACACCCCTGATCTCAAAAGATTTTCACATATCTTACTATATATCACGTCATATCTACTAAGATCCAGATTCCTTTTCTTTTTACTGTATCTGCTTTTCTATTATCTTGTTACCCAAACGCTGAAATACCTTTTCCTGCATAACAATAGCTCTTTAATGGTAAAACTGAAGAATCAAACAGAACAGCTGTCTCTCTGTTCTCTGGGTGGCTCGTAGTGTAATAAATCAACCCATTTTTTCTTTCTCATTTTTCCTAGACTTGTCTTATCTTAATCTGGTTGTGATCTTCCGTGACAACCACAATTATGGTCTTATCAGTTTGCTGTGTGCACATGACACCAGTAAAAAAAAAAACATAATGTCATGTAATGTCAACTGTTATTTTCATTTCTCAGCATATCTTGATGTATACTCAGGCAGGCGGGGGGTTTGGTTCAAAAGAACTGGCACTAAGACTGGAAATGGCCTGCTTTTGTCCAAATTTTAACAAGAGACCATTCAGAACAGACAATCAGAGGATTATCAGTAGTCAGCCCTCCTTCTTTTATGTACAGTAGCCAGTAGGGTTTGCCATATTTGATCCGTGGACTAGTAGAACCTCAGACCTTCTATTCTGAATGGCCTGTAAGCCCTATGTCATTTCTCATGTTGAGTCTACTTATGGGGTAAAGAGGTCTATGAAAAATAACTCATAACTTTACAACCACCAGCATCCCTTAATCCTGCTCCACTGCCAAAGAAACCTTCCTTCTCAATGATGGATATTGTATAGCACTTAGACTAATAGCAAATCAAACTCTCGGTGTCAAGGAATAAAATATTAAGACCTTCATTAGGAAATCTGTTGCTAAAATGAGAGGTAACATTAAAAAATAATCAAGTAGCTGAATAAATCAAGTCAATCTCTCTTTTCTACTGATCCCTACTCTCTGAAATTTGGCTTTAACTTGAGCCATAAAAACCCATCTCCTGCAGCATCATTCCTGTATGTATATCTAACTCTCTTCAATAATTGGCTCTAATTTGAAGTTTGAATCAAAAAACATCTGCCCATCATTCCTGCATGTAACTCTCTTCAATCTGGCTTACATTTGAGGCTAAAACCAGTCTTCTGACACATTATTCCTCTCTCTCTCTCTCTCATTAAAGCCTGTTGTCTATCAAAATTCCTCTCATACAAAAGACAAAAACCGGTTAATTTCCTTTTCTCAGCAGTACTATTAGACATTACATCATGGTGGAAAAACTGGTTTACAAAAAAAATCATGGTGCTATATATTACATCCCAACTTATCAAGTCATTTCCTTTGAAATTTTATAGAGCTATATCCAAATATGATTCAATTTAGCTCTAACAACTGGAATTGGGTACTGTACCTGTTTCTAAACCGACCCCATATAGACACTTTGTGCCTGTCCATTCCACCCAACAAAAACCATTTTTTTTTGTCCCACCTATCATAAATTGCTCAACTAAGCACACAGAGTGACTGCCAGAGTTAAAGTTGTGAATTAATGCAAAAACACAGATCCCGACAGAAGTCATCAATGTCTAACTTGACAGTCATCAAGACTTTCATATTTTGTTCTCACATTACTGACAATACGTAGAAGGGACATATACTGTTCTATTGTAGTTTGGAGCGTCTGGAAATGTAAAACTTATGTCCAATAAATTATTAAATATTGCTATAATTATTATAACAAAGGGATGGCACAGCAACATATTGCAATCAAGCACCATCTTTTTGATGTTGACTGAACAGAGCTCTTGCTGAAAACAGTTCAGACATTGTTTTATTTATCTCATCAGCTTCACTCTTCTGGAGCTGAACATAAAAGCAGCCTTTTCCACTCCAGTCCCCAAAGACCTCACTTTTCAGTAATCTGACACAAAAAGCTTTTAGTGCCCCAATCCATACTTCTGTGGATTACATGGGCAGATTTTAACGTTTCACACAAAATCCCACACAGACCTATAGCAAGTTAAGGCAAGTTTAGACTGGATTAACTGGCACACCTCTGAGAATCTGACACAGATCTTAGGCAAGGCAAGTTTAGACTGGATGAACTGGTACACACTTTTTTGTAAATA